GTGTGTGTGTGAATGTGCGCGCATGCGTGCGTGCGTGCGTGCGTGTGTTGGCTTTTGTGCGTGATCTGAGTGCGTCGAAGAAAGGGGATACCAGTAAACACATAATACTCTTGTGTCAACATATTACATTACGTATATATATATATGTCATCATCATCCACTGCCAGATCTGCGACAGACATCGGGTGATCATGGTTCTCTATTCATTACTTTCCTCAGAAGCCCTTAAAAAGGCTACGTTTCCCTGATCGTTCCTTTTTACCCACTTGCTTTGGTTCCCTAAGTACCTGTATCTGCTATATAATACAACTCAACCCATGCTTACAAAAGAACACGACGATTGTTAAGACTTCAGCGTTTAATTCTGATTTGTGTTTTTCATAAGCGCTAGCCTCAGGCATATTTCGCATTGGTCCCTAACCCTCACCCTAACCCTAATCCTAACCCTAACCCTAACCCTAATCCTGACCCTAATCCTAATCCTGACCCTAAAGCTAACCCTAACCCTAACCCTGACCCTAACAGAAACCATAACCCTAACCCTAATCGGAAGTAAACGCTGGAATCTTTACAATCGCCCAAAACACTGCCTCTAGAGATGACTCACCTTTACACACCCCCCCTGCTACTGTCGCATTCGCTTGACACACACACTCATATTTCTGGTAGCCCTCAGCATCTGTGTATGTCACACAAGTGGCATCGGCTGGACATGTCACACTGTCGCAGGCGTTTATAGGTGCCTGGCAAGTATCACCTCCTTTATCTTTCACTGTGAAGTAAACAAATAGAGAAAACAAAATGTGAAGTGTGCTGACAAAATGAGTTGCTTCTCGGATTTGAGCCCAGTGGAAATAGATACATCACACTTATAGGTTAGGTTCGTACAATATTTATAAGTATGAAATAAAAAGCATTCTACACTTAAAGAATATTGCATCAATAGAAAATCTATTAATTTGACCCTAGGGTCGATTTTTGGCCAATATCTTCATTTGTGGATTGCGACGAGAAGTAACTCATTTCGTCAGCATGGCTCACAACTTGAAACTCTCACAATTTCCAGGGTGTGACAACACCCGTTTTTCCAGTTAACCTTTCATATCTATATCCAAAGAGCTAAAATTCGAGAAGTAGCTGGATCATTTTGTCAATATGCCTGACATTTAACCCTCACCTTTCTCGCATTCACACACAAAGCTGAGCTTATCGAGTTTGCAGGCACCAAATCCACAAGCACGAGCCGAGCAGTGGTCCTTCTCAAGTTCACACGAGTCTCCGCTGTATGCTGGGGAAAAAACAAAACATCTGGTTGAGACATCAAGTTTACAATACATGGGTAAACATAAAGAAAAGCTCACTCTTCTCAACCACCCCCTGCCCCCACCTCCCAACCCGTCCCTTGTCCCCATTTCCCCAACCATCTCAGACTGGTATTTTTAGTCTTACAGGAACAGGGAACAGCTTGTTGTGACTATTGTGATGCACAAAACATGGGATGGGGGGGGGGGGAAGTCTATTTCTTTTATTTTTATTCTGTTGTTTCTGTCCATCCGTCCTGCTTCTTCCCTGCATTATCATCATCATCAATGCCTTTTACCCCTGGCAGAGTATAGGCCACATACAAACTCCTTCCATTTATCTCTGTCCTGGGCCGTCTTTCTAAGCTCGTACCAAGTGAGATTCATCTCTCTCATGTTCCTTTCCATTAATCTCCTCCATGTTTCCCGTGGCCTACCATTGCTTCATGCTCCTTGTGGGTTCCACTTCAGCGACTGTCTTGTGATGTTCCGCTGAGCTTTCTGAGGGTGTGTCCCAACCATCGCCACTTTCTTAGTCCTATTTTTACTTCTGTATCCTTTTTTCTTGTTCTTTCCCACAGTGCTTCATGTCTTATTCTATCCTGCCACTTAATTCTTAGGATACTTCTCATACATCTGTTGATGAAAGTCTCATCCCTGCACTATACAACCGTTATTGTGTCCTGTTTCTTTTGATGACTCAAACTCAAAACTCAAACTAAGATCAGCATCATCAACAGAGGGAATGTAGCCTGATGCTACACCTCCAAAAGGACCTGCTCTGTGCATAATTGGTAATTAAAGTCTTAGTTTCAGTAACAGTTTTATGGCACTTGCAATACAATAAGGTCATAAAAGTGCCGACGAATAGATGTGTTAAAAGACAGTAACGGACGCAAAAAAGAAGGAGGAGAGATAACGATGACAGATGTTTGATAGAGGAAAAAAAAAAGGAGCCAACCACACCAGAGCATACACCAACCACCCACTAATTAATGTCGAATAAAAATGAATCAAAACTGATGTAACCTCTCACCTGTTTCACAGTCGCATTGCGCGGTGCCATTGCCCGACTTGCACTGTCCACTGTTCTGGCATAGGGAGCTCCCAAACAAGTCACAGATGTCCTTAAACAACTCACAAGTCTCCCCTGCAGTACCGTCTAGGCACCTAAAAACGTGGACAAAAGCATAAATTGAATGACCTTAACATGGCCCCTAAAAACGTAGACAAAAACATAAATTGAATGACCTATGACCTTAACATGGCCCCTAAAAACGTAGACAAAAACATAAATTGAATGACCTATAACCTTAACGTGGCACTTAAAAACGTAGACAAAAACATAAATTGAATGACCTATAACCTTAACATGGCCCCTAAAAACGTAGACAAAAACATAAATTGAATGACCTATAACCTTAACATGGACTTAAAAACGTGGATTTACAGACCTATGACCTTAACATGGCGCCTAAAAATGTAGACAAAAATAAAAATTGACAGGCGTATGAGTGTATCTTCATATCTTAAAAACCGTGACAATTTATATTTTGACAATTACTGAGACATATCTTACTTTTCTGTAGTAGTAAGGTTGACTTAGACAAACATTAAATTCTTGGTTTGTTGGTTTTTATTGTAACTTGAAAGTTCTTTCAAAAGAACAAAAAAGGGAAAGAGTGAGTTATGCTAAGACCGTAACATAATGTCACTTTGTTCCCTCAGAATTACAAAGTTCTATTTGAAAATTTTTGGCCGTTTTGAGTTGAGTTAACGTTATGAAGACCAAGATCGAGATCAAAAACCAAATGTTCTATCTACTTCATCAAAATCCTCAAATTATTAGGAGTCCTTATCAAGATATACAAAGAACTGCTAAAACTTGAAAAAGCTTGATTTGTTGTGAAACTGAACATCTTTGATGTCAAATTTCTTTAAACTAGGTACTGAGCCAATAGAACTATGCAATTCTGAGGTACTCCCCTGCTGGTGGGGGGGCCCCGTAGTTTTTCTATGGGGGAGCAAAGAATACACCTGCCGTGATACTGCGTGTCGTAAGAGGCGACAAAAAGTGCATAGGTCTGGTCGCCCGAAAAATGCCAGTTTGCGGAGGGCCAACTACCCAACCCAGTAAAAAACAGTAAGTTACAGAAACACGGACAAACACAGCTTTTTATTTTTCGATCTTGGGAGACGGAGGAGCTTCTGTATCAGCAGGAACAATGAAGGACAGCGGACAAAGCCGAAAGGGCAAGAGATCAAGGGGAAGACCTCGTGGAACTTGGAGAAGAATCACAGAAATCGATGTACAGAAAAGTGGGAAGACATGGAATAACATCAAGAGGCTAGCCCAGGGTAGAGAAAAGTGGGGGGGGGGTGTTTGTCCGTGGCCTATACCCTGGTGCAGGGTGAGAAAGTGTTTGTCCGTGGCCTATACCCTGGTGCAGGGTGAGAAAATGTTTGTCCGTGGACTATACCCTGGTGCAGGGTGAGAAAGTGTTTGTCCGTGGCCTATACCCTGGTGCAGGGTGAGAAAGTGTTTGTCCGTGGCCTATACCCTGGTGCAGGGTGAGAAAGTGTTTGTCTGTGGCCTATACCCTGGTGCAGGGTGAGAAAGTGTTTGTCCGTGGCCTATACCCTGGTGCAGGGTGAGAAAGGCAATGAATTCTGAGGTAGTGACTTACTGGCAATAGGTCCTGTCCATGAGGTTATGGCACGTTCCATTATTGGAACACGGATTGTTGACTTGGCAGTAATTGTCAGGCGTTTCACATTGCTTCCCTGTCCACCCGTCCAGACACTTGCAGACGTAACCGTTGACCTGATCCGTACATTGCCCTCCGTGAAGACATGGTTCGGATTTGCATTCATCTATCTCCTCCTGATCATGAATGAAAATAAACGTTGTTTAATAAATCTCATAAGAAATTAACCCTTCGAGCCCTGACCTCCTGAGGCAACCATGCCCCTCTGCCTGAGCTCATGAGCAATATATGTGAGGCATGCTGACAAAATGAGTTACTTCTCCTAATCCACAAAAGGAGATATTGGCCAAAAATCAACCCTTGGGTCAGATTAATAGATTTTCTATTGATGCAATATTCTTTAAGTATAATATGCCTTTCATTATTTCATATTTATAAATTGTAAAAGCTTTACCCATAAGCGTGATGTATTTATTTCCACAGGGCTCAAATCCTAAAACAACTAATTTTGTCAGCACACTTCACATATTATTACTAACATTCATTTATATGATTGTTAAAATCACATTCCAAATCCCTTATCAATACCAGCATCTAATTCAGAAAGATATTTTTTTAAAAACTCAATAGTATCTTGTGTAGTAAACACTGTTTTCCATACACATTTTGTCTCAGGCGGGCCGAGTTGGGGATTGGATCTCGCTCACCGCTCTACTGGTGGCTAGACATACGGACAGTTTTACACACCACTGGTGACTAGACATACGGACAGTTTTACACACCACTGGTGACTAGACATACGGACAGTTTTACACACCACTGGTGAATCGGTGTCACGGGCTCATAAAAGGGTTGATATTCACCTATTTGAAAATTACAGTTTGAAATACATTCGTCAAACCTTCTCTATTGACCACCTGTTCAAGACAATCACATGTACAAACAACAACTTCCATGTCTCCCCTTGCATTTTTTTCTGTGCTATAACAACACTGTCTGAGATGATCACTTTTCTCTTCAGCAATGGCTGATTGTCTGGGACAAGTTCGACCATATTACCGTTCACTGATTTTAAACTGAAATACGTTTTACTTCCGAGCCCAATTCTGCTGGTAAGTTCAAGTAAAATAAAATTAAAAGCTTGACATAAATCCACAGAATTGTTGTTTGACTGTGGTAAGTGCCGAGATATGATAGGTTACGAAGAATTTAAACATTTTTTGACTATCAGCTCTGAAATATCAGTAGTAATAATACAAAGTTTAAAAGTGACATTTGACTCACGCATTCTCATACACCGAATGATCACAGCCATAAGGTGGATGAGATGTTTCCCTTGTAAATCAAAGGACAAACATCGGCGATCATGGTTCTCCAATCATTCCTTTGCTCGGATGCTCTTAAAAAAGCTACGATTCCCTGATCCTTCCCTGTCACCCACTTGTTCAGGTATCATCATCATCACCATTGTAAAATAGCAGGCAGTAACAACAGTGGAAAAAACCAGAATGGCACAGGCTAGAATCTTTCATCTCTCCGTCTCAATCCACTCACCGTACAGTTTTGGCCCATGTATCCTGGTTTGCAGATGCACTTAAAGTTCTCCACAAGATCAGTGCAACCAATGCTGGTATTTTCAGCACAAACGCCGGTACAGTCATTGATATTGTCGGAACAGTCAACACCTTTAGGAAATGAGAAAAGGGATAAATGTTATTACTATTCACACATATACATACATGCATGCACGCGTGCGCATGCGTACACACACATACTCACAAACACACACACACACACATACACACATACATACACACACACACACACACACACATACACACATTGTTTTGTACATTTCGAGATAAATTGGATACTATTTAAAGTAAAGACACATTCAAAGGGATGATGACTGTTGATCTTGACTGTTAGAAAGAAAAGGGACAAAAAGATTCACTGCTCTTTTATTTAGTAACTGAAAAGGGACGGAACCTTCTTATTCGTTAACTGAAAAAAAAAAATCAATTACTGACATACACTATGAACTGGAAAGAATTCATCTCTATTTAAAAAGAAAGAATTGTTTACTCTCATACAGGAAAGCATTGATTATTGTAACATTGTTAAACTTTAAAGAACCGAACATTACAACTATTTTGTTTTGGTTGGATTGGTCTAATCCATAACCCCAGTCATAAAACAAATGAATATCACAAAATATTTGACGCAGTAGGACGGAAGAGAAAAAAAATAACAAAACATTTGACACAAAAGGAAAAAAGAGAAAGCAAATGACAAAACATTTGAAACAATAGTAGGAAAGAAGCAAAAGAAAACAACAAAATTCTTTTAAGGGGATAAAAAATATTCAAGTACCTTGAAAGCCAGGCGCACATTCACATCGGTATCCATTCACTTGGTCTTTGCATGAGCTGCCATTCTTACAAGGGTTTGAGGCACACTCGTCAATATTGTGCTGGCATACAGATCCCTCGAAGCCATCTTGACACGTGCACTGGAATCCGCCGATCTTGTCCATGCATGTTCCGTTGTACTTGCACGGATCCCCGGCACAGTATTTCACAGGTGTGCACTTGTCAATGTCCTCTGCATTATTTCAACACAGATATGGATCAGCGATGGGCAGAAACAATTCGACTTAACATATTACACTTAACTATGTAGACATGCTTTTCCGTTTGTATTTAGAATGTTTTGATTCAGCATTGAACATTTTGTAACAGTTCTTACCATATTGTGAAAAAATGGTGAAATGGTATGAGTTTAATGCCCCTATCAACACTATTAGGTTATTTAAGAGGCGGGACCTCCTAATTTAATGTCCGTCTCCGATAGGACCGAGTCAAGTGGAACATTTGTGTAAAGTGCCTTTCCCAAGGACACAACGTCGGACCGAGCTGGGGCTCGAACCCCCGAACCCGCAATCTCACGATTACGAGTCCGGTAGCCTTTCCACTTGGCTACCGACGCCACGTTACCATATTGTAACATCCCAGAAACATTCAGGTATGGAAAATTTGCTTGTTCAGACATGCTCATTGGCAAGCTAGTCAACTGTTTGTAAGTCCAAAAATCAAAATTTCGCAAGAGAGAAAAATGAACTGTTTCATTATTCTAAAGATTGTACCACATAAATTATGTATCTTTTCTTTCTCTTTTTTGACATTCAGAATTTGAATTTCTGTAAAACTTTTTTTGGGCACATGCAACCAATAGCATAGATTAAGAAATTGCAATTTAATTAAAGGATTCAACTTTTTGGGCTGAGCACATCTGAACAGATGGTGATATTTTGAATTTGTTTTAAAGTTTATTTTGAAAAAACGAAATCCTCAGACATTCTTACCATTTTCGTAATGTTCTGGGCACATGCAAACCGCAGTGAGATTGAAATAGTCATTGTAGCACACACCACCGGGACCGCACTGGGCATTGTCACAGAAATTTGCCCGCTTCTCGCACCAGTCGCCATCAAAACCTGTTAGGCATGTACACGTGTAGCCGTCCACCGCATCCTCACATGTCCCGTTGTAAAGACACTCATTGGTCTTGCAATCATCTGAAAACATTTTTAAAAACTCCAATAAAATCAGGGAAGAGGGAAACGGCAAGGGGGATTTCCAGCTTAACCAGCATGCACCCAGGTCCATACGCTTAAAATAATTGAGAAATTCTTAAAATATATTTATTTGGTTAAAAAAATTGACTGTGTCAGAAAAAAGAAAGTCAAAGTCACCTTGTGGTCATTTAGAGAAAATGCCCCCACCCCCAAAAGAAATCCCCTTAAAAATCAAGAAAACAGAAGCATAATAAATTTGTAAAGACCATAACTCTGATTAAGATACATTCGGTCATTTCATTGTAATGCTAGGCCTATGTTGTATAGTCTTCCCTGATGTGTATCATTATACAAAGAACTCTTATTTTTAGCAAATATGTGACTTAGTTCCTCTTGTTCTCTCACCCCTTTCATTTAATCAACAGTTTATAAAGACACACTTGTTCAACTTTATCCTGTGCCAGCAACGTTTGCATAGGCCTACGTGAAAAAGTATGCATGCATGTGTGCATGCGTGGTGTGTGTGTACGTGTGTGTGAGCATGTGTGTATGGTCTCTTAATGTGTATGTTCTGCCTTTTGATTTGTATATTGAGTGATAATTCTGCATGGTATAGCACAAAGAGCCGCCTTCGGAGGATAAAGTGCTATAGAAATTCCCATTGTTATTATAATCATCAATGTGGAAAAACATGGAGTAATATCAAAAGATTCAAGAGTCAGTCCCTGGATAGAGAAAATGTGGAAAATGTTTGTTTGTGGCCTATACCCTGACCCAAGGTGAGAAATGTATTGATGTATAATGATGCTGAATACATCATTATTTAAAAAAGCAAAAAAAACTAAATCCTTACTGATATTGTCATCACACGTGTCTCCTGTGTACCCCGGTGGACATTCACAGACGAAGCGAACTGCATCGTACGAGAAGCAGTCTCCATTTACACACGGGTCGTTTTCGCAAAGGTCAGCTGGTTTTTCACATCTGGAATGTTACAGGCCAGTGTTGTTACAGATTGAGTGATACTACTGCTTATAGCAATTTATAATGATAAAAATTATAACGATAATAACTATAGTGAAGAAGAAGAAGAAGAAGAAGAAGAAGAAGAAGAAGAAGAAGAAAAAGAAGAAGAAGAAGAAGAAAAAGGAGAAGGAGAAAGAGGAGAAGGAGAAGGAGAAGGAGAAGGAGAAGGAGAAGAAGAAGAAGGAGAAGAAGAAGAAGAAGAAGAAGAAGAAGAAGAAGAAGAAGAAGAAGAAGAAGAAGAAGAAGAAGAACGTTATTATAATTATAATAATAATAATAGAAAGAGGTAGTGAGAAAAAGAGAAGGAAAAGGAAACTGAGGACAGAGGGAGAAAAAGAGAGACAGAAACATTGATGTGGAAGTGAAAAATATGACTTGGAAAAAGACAACATTGTTTGAAAGAGTCAATGTGAGGCAGAGTGGTGAAATCAGGCGCTCATCAATATGTAATGAAATTGAAGAAAATGGCATTTTTCTTCCCATTAGGTAATTTATGTCGAATTTTGTGTTTTTGGCTAAACACCTTTTATGTCCATTTTAAAACAATCTGCTATGTAGTTTTTACTGAAAAACGTTGATTAAAGGCACAAAGTAAATTTAGAGTTTACTCTATGGACTCTCAAGTTTTGGAAGTCACCAAACTTTGGCGGCCATTTTCTCTCTTATTTAACCTCTGAAACCAGGCGACCCCCCACCTCCTTATTCAATCCAAAATATCTTGACTTCTATTGAAGATAGATGGGTAATTTTCTTCATTGAAAGCAAGACAAATAAACTTGCTTATTAAAGAAGATACCAAAACCTACACAATGCCCAAACATTGACGAGCACCTGATCTCACTGCATTGTGACACAATAATGTTTCCATAGCAATACCTGTCATCATAGGATCCTTCCCGGGGGCACACACATTCGGTTTTATTGATCAGATCTCGGCAGACTCCCGCTGAATCGCAGGTGCTGTCGGTGCAGTCCATTGTGAGGTCGTTCTCGCACCGAGTGCCATTAAACACTGTATTCAGTCAATATCAACATGGTTAGTTTATTTCTCAGGCAACATTTATTATTAATTATCAATGAAGAAATATCAGGAAAGAAAATCAGATTACATGATAGGAGCGTGGCGCTATAATTTGTCTGTCAGTTATTTCTAGGGAGGGAAAGTCAGGAGCACTAGCCATAACTCAAATAATGACCCAGGAGTGCTTTGTTTATAATGGTCCCCACTCACTTATGCTGCAAACTGCTAGCACCTCATCAAAATTGTCAAACATATTTTCATCATATTTCTGCCACACTTGGTGGTTCTTAGTGAGTTTGGATAGACACTAAGCGAAAGGATGATTTTCCTGTTTTCAAAGAAGCAAACGCACTGTGTATGTACAAAAATATACACACAAATACACACACACACACACACACACACACATATATATATATAATATAAAAACATAGATATATATGACTAAAGAATACAAATGTTTTAGCCAGTTCATGTTCAGTTATCATTCTATTAGGGTATATCCCGTTATTATAAATCTATATTCTTGTCCTACATTTTTTGGAATCTCTTACCCTGCTCTGATCAGAACATAACATCATGTGACAAAATATCCTTTAAAAAATACATCATACCAGAACTTCGAAGATGAATAGAAAGAAAGGCTGATATGTAAGCTACAAGTTAGTCACACCCCTCATCTCATTACAGGCCCTAATAATGGAATCAACATTTTACAAAACTAAAGCTTAACAATACGTAATGCTTGGGTATAGTTTTCTTTCACTACTTATTTCATAAAAGTATTCATAAAGTTGGTTCCTAAAATGCAGAAATGACAAAAGCCGGCAAAAGACATCTGATGTGCTCATGTGGAATAATATGCTAAAGACTTCATATGCAATTTTCAATCCCCTCTAAAAAAAAAGATAAAAAAAAGAAGAAAATAATCATGTATCACTGCTCTCCACTCTCAGCTTCAAAATCAGTCCCATTTTCCTAACAATCAAAACTGAAATCTCAGGCTGATGAATGACCATTTTTAGCAATATGTTGAGTTAGGTCATTATTTCCCCTTTATTTTCATATATAATCCATGTGGCTAGTATTGAAAAGTGAACTCAGAATTTTTAATTTGTCCGATGGTAGGCAGAATCAGAAAGTGGATCACATGCAAGGAGGCCCAGCCCAGATGAGGGAAAAAACCCTGATCGTGAAAGAAAGAGTTAAAATTTGACGACAAATTGTTTAGTGAATCTAATCAATACAGCACTCACAGCTGGTGTAGTCACAGATTTTTTCAGCTCCGACCTGATCGACAGTGGCAAAATCTTGCTCAACAACGGTGGAATGCCTGAAGCAGTAGTTCTTAGAACCAACGGACGAGTATAAATAAGCCACACAGTCAGCATCATCCAGGCACAGGTTCTCACATTCCGCTTGGGAGGCTACCTCACTAGGAATGATACTGTCATCATACGTGAGATTCCGTGGCTCAAAGATGCACTCTGCACGAGTAAAAGGATTCTAAATAAGAATGATGATACGTGACATTTATATATGCACTCAAACCCAATTTAAAAAAGAAAGGTTCTGAACATTTTACAAATATATTGCAATATAATAGCAAAACATAAACAGTGCATTGTGTTCCCACTAAAATCTTACATATATATGACATCGTGGTGAAATCTGGTGCTTGTCAAAATATTGAAATCAAAGAAATTGGCTTTTTTTCTGGCCGTCTTGCAGTTTTATTCTAATTTTCTTCTATTGACTCAACATCTTTTGCGTTCATTTAAAAACACATTTCAGAGTGGATTTTACTGAAAAACATTGATTAAAGGCACAAAAATTTATTATTTTTAGTTTCCAAGGCCTCTCAAGCTATGGAAGTTAGCAAACTTTGGCGGCCAGTTTCTCGCTAATTTTAATTCTGAAACCATATGACCCTCACGTCCTTCAATAGCAAATATCTCACCAACCATCCACAGAGCCATTTTCTGAGAATGTTTTGTTGCAAGCTTATTAACATGAGCGAGTAAAAGTTGGATTGGTGTGAGAAATGCTGAATAGTAATCACTTTCTGTACAACTTACGTGGTTTGCATGTACATTCGTAGCTTAGACCATCTTGTTTGCATGTCCCCTCATTGTAACAAGGATTTGCTGCACAGCTATTGCATACAGTGTCGCACCTGTCTCCAAAGTACCCTGTGGTTTGGGAGCGGGGGGGGGGGGGGGGGGGGGGTGTTGGGAGTGAGGGGGGGAGGCCGAGGTGGAGGGGGTGGGGATGGGTGGGGGTTGCGAGTGGGTGGGTGGGGGTGTTGGGAGAGGGAATTGGAAAGGGGGGGGGGGGAGTTGAAAATTGGGAGAAAAAACATAATATTATTTCTCTTCCATCATTTATTATCAATAATCATTTCCATCAACAGTTAAAATCTCTTTCCATGAAGAAAATTCAATTTTGTTGCCCAAGAGCAGAGTTTTGGGATTAATCTTTGCTCGTATTTTGTGCTTATAAAGTACATCACACATCAATTACCAGCAGAGCTTTTGGATTAATCTTTGCTCCAACTCTTTACTTACAAAAAACATCACACTTCATTACCAGTGCCAACTAAACACCAGCAGTCTAGTGGTGAAGCTCTTGACCCTCAACCATAAAGTTGTGGGTTTGATTGAATCCCATTAGGGGCCCAATGTTGCGTCCTTGGGAAAGGCACTTTACACAAATTTTTCTTCACTTCCGGTCCTCCAGATGGGAATGGGTACCCGACAATAGACAGCAAAACGTCTTGTTAATTTTTGTGTTTTTGAGAGTTTGTAATCCACAGATTGCACTGTGTGCTTACTGTGATGCGGAAAATGTTTCGGAGTCATGTTCTCGGGTCTGCTGGGGTAATACTAGTCGTAAAGCGCACAAAACATGCTGCAATGTGTTTGTTTGAGTAGAAAGAAGAATATCAACTCAACAATAGTCACCTAGTAGTGCTGGGAAAAAGTAAAGACTGACATAAGTAAGTAATTAATGATCCCTGAAAAATGCCCAAAATTCACAACAAAAAACTTGCATAACTTTTGAGGCTAGTATCCAATCTTCATGCAGTTTTAAAAAAATTTTCTCAGCTCTTTTAGCTCTACCTAGTGACATGCATCTTGTTCTAATTAATGTTTTTTAAATTTTTTCATGAAACTCCATACTGACTGACAGAAACAACAGCAGAGGGGAAGTATAGAAGTAGGACCTACCATTTGTGCCCTCTACCCACCCACGTGTTCCTATAGAAATAGTAATAATAATAATAATTGCATTTATATTGCGCATATCCATGCTCAAGAACATGCTCTATGCGCTTTACAACTATTATTATCCCAGCAGACCCTCTGAGAACACTCAGAAACATTCTCGGCTTCTGTAGAAGCATACACACAGTGCAAGCTGCGGATCTCACGCGCTCAAACACTATCAAACTGACAAGATCGTTCACTGTCTATAGCCTCGTACCCATTCCCACCTGGGTGAAGTGAGGAAAATTCATGTAAAGTGCCTTTCCCAAGGACACAACGTCGGGCCCCTGACGGGATTCGAACAAGTCAAAATTGTCCAAAATAGCCCCCATTGTCAAGGAGAAAACTGGTTGTCTGAATCAGGCTGATGTCTTGGACAACATTGAAAAAAATTCAAAGGCGGAAGTTGTAAGTGGCCATTTGTAGCCTACAGGTGATTGCCTTTGGCAGGTGACTGCTAGAGCTAATAATAGATAGCATTTGTGATAGATAGCTCTATGATATGCGCTTTACAATCTTTTATTACCCCAGCAGACCTGCTAACATTCTGAACCAGTCTCAATTTCCTGTCATGCATACAGTGCAAACTGCCTTTTATAGGTGCTTAAACACTAACATACTGACAGTTCCTCTGTATATGTAAATACTTTCCATTTGTACCTTAGGGCTCTATCTCTATCTAAATAACAAAGATGGATCAGCATCTATGGTGTAGTTATTAGACACTTTGCCATCACAAACAGAGGATGTGCGTTCAATTCTTGTGTTGGGAGTTTTATTATTTTTTTCCTCCCAAGTATCTCCTTCTGTCTGTTGTAACTTTCTCCCACTGGGTTGTCCCTCACAGGCAGGGTCGAAGCAGTCCGTTTTCTAAATGATATAAATTGAGTCGATGGGGGCGTAAAACATCTAGAGTTACATTTACACAGGAAGGATGGAGACCGGGAAGGGCAAAGTGCTCACCTTCTTTGCAGTCGCACGTTGGACGATGGTCACTTATGAAGCAGTTTGTTCCAGGTTTGGTATTCATCGCATTGCAGAAGTCAGCAGGGCATATAGAAGCTATTCCGAAGGAAAAAAATGTGAGGATTGCTTGGTAGATTATTTTACAGAGCAAAGACAATGACAATGACAATCTTTAATCATCTCACAGGGAGAAATTTGTCTTGGTGGTTTGTGGAATGTTACAAAATTTAGGTGCACTCATGCCTTCACAGAACAAGACTGGACATTGGTAAATACACATCTCACATGCTGAAACAACCTGCTCCGTAAAACGTTCTCTCTCTCTCTCTCTCTCTCTCTCTCTCTCCCCCCCCCTCTCTCTCTCTCTATCTCTCGTCTCTCTCAAACATATCTCCTTATAAATACAGAGAACAAAAATCACACTTTCGTAAAGATAAAACAAAACCAATATCTTACCAAGATCATCACTGCAATCGCTTGCAGAGTCGCTGCCGTTCGAGTTGGTATATCTATCCGGAGGGCATTCAGTACAAGCTGTGTTATTCATATCTTCAGCATAGAAGTTGACTGGACAGGATGAACAGGGCTCAAAGCCAGAGTCAGAATACATCCCTGCCATGCACGGTGCTGTGAAGGAAAAACGACGGAAGCTGGTTCAACAACGATACGAAGAATGACGACCACCATTGGTTCAACATTGATATGGAGAAAGAAGACCACCATTGGTTCAACATTGATATGAAGAATGAAGACCATCATTGGTTCAACATTGATATCAAGAAATAAGACTACCATTAGTTCAACATTGATATGAAGAAAGAAGACTACCATTGCTTCAACATTGATATCTTATGCTCTTCGTGAAAAGTCTTTGTGTTTTGGTAATTTCCAAAACACAAAGACTTTTCACAGAGAGCATAAGGTATCAATGTAGCTCTAAAGAACACCTCACCGGAACAAAATTAGATATTTGCAGGAACAAAACAAGGTATTTATAGCTCTGAAGAACAACAAACCAGAAAAAAACAAGTTTTATACCTCCAAAGAACACCGAACCAAAACAAAATGAACTTTTACGAATTGCTCCAAAGTACATCTTACCGAAACAAAATGAGCTATTTATGGCTCCAAAGACACCCTTGGTAGACCCAGAATTTGGACACGGTTCACACAGGCGAGCCGTCTTCCAGAAGTGATTCAGTGGGCAAGGTTTACATCCACTGCTGACATAGCCGTCTGCACTGTAAAAGCCTTCTGGGCAAACTTCTGCAAAGACAAAAATACAAAAGTACATCAAAATCTGTCTGTCTGTATATTGTGTGTGTGTGAGGGTGTGTGTGTGTGTGTGTGTGTGTGTGTGTGTGTGTGTGTGTGTGTGTGTGTGTGTGTGTGTGTGTGTGTGTGTGTGTGTGAGTTTGCTTGAGTATATGTGCCTGTGTGTGTGTGTGTGTGTGTGTGTGTGTGTGTGTGTGTGTGTGTGTGTGTGTGTGTGTGTGTGAGTGTGTGTGTGTGTGTGTGTGTGTGTGTGTGTGTGTGCGTGAGTGCATGAACATGCGTGTCTGTGTATGTGTGTGGTTGTGTGTGTGTGTATGTGTCTGTATGTATGTATATTGTGTGTGTGTGTATGTATGTGTATGTGTGTGTATGTATGTATATTGTGTGTGTATGTGTGTGTATGTGTGTGTGTATGTGTGTGTGTTTGTTTGTGCGTGTATTCATCTGTGGGTGTGTTTGTGTATTATGAGTGATTGTTTGTATGTGAATTTATTATAAGCCTACCAATTCGTTTTTGTGGGTGTGTTTGTGTATTATGAGTGATTGTTTGTATGTGAATTTATTATAAGCCTACCAATTCGTTTTTAGTCCTGAAAGGTCAAATTGGTACTACACTCAATACTTTCGTCACTTTGAGGCAAGAAAAATAAACAAGCTCCTTCATTACAAAGCTACTAGCGCAAACAATTTTATTGCCACTATTTACACACACACTTCACAAGGCCGTATCAACCATTGCAACACCCGTACTCACTCTCCCCCATTCCCCCCCCCCAATTTTTTAAACATAAGAGGCACGCCCCTACCCCCTTCCCACCCACCTCCGTGTCTCCCCATAATCTAATATCCAAACAAAAGGATCCCGGTAATGTGGTAGTCGAAAACATCTAAATTCTATAAAAGTGAACGCGTAGGAATCTGGAAATAATACATTTTATTGTAGCCTATGCTCACATCTGCAAACATCAGAGCTGATGCAACCCTTCAATAAAGTCACCCAGCGAAAATTCTTTGTTACGTCAGCAACCTTTTTTTCTTTCTATTATCAGGTCCAATGCAATATTTTAGTGTTAGTTTTAGTTAGTTAACGTTTTACTGCACTTGCAACACAAATAAGTACACAAAAACATATATGTGCCAAAGGCTAGAGGTTTAACTAGATCTAGAGAGAGAGTAACAACATACAAAGAAAAGAAGGAGGAGGATAAGAACGCTGGAATATTATTTTACAGGATAGAAGGAGTAATAAACCACACCAGGGCATCGGCCAACCACGTATGCACTTTCAAAGTAAAGGCGTAACACACAACGTCCCCACCAACTTACCTGCACACTGAGCTGCACTCACGCGCGGCAGACTGGACCTCTCGACAGGCACGCCATTTTTCTCAGGACACTGCTCACACATCAGCTGGCCCTCTCTGTTCTGGAACGTTCCATCCGCGCACTGCAGACAACCTTGACCGCCGCTGCTGTTGTAGAAGTTGCCGGGGCCGCATGGTACTGGTGGCCGGGGG